TGTTGTCATTGGTCTGGAGATGGGTCGGGAGACAGAGCAGGCCAGTGGAAAACCGAGATTTGCAATTTCCTGCCTCACGACGGCTTGAATAACGGAGACCGCCGGAGGTGTTTGTGCGGCGCCATGGTCGTGCGGATGTGGAGGTAATGGTGCCCAACTTGACGCCTTAAGGTCCCGTCGAACTGTTCGTGTCACGCTGTCCTGCGTAGGTGATGCGGCACCGAGATCGGTGCAGGTGGATGTAACAGCCGTGTTTGGTAGCCGCGTAAATTGAGGCAGGACACGGCGGCTTTTGGCCATTTTGAAGCGGCGCATTCCTTGATAGCCATATCTACAGTCGTGACATTAGTGTAGACGAGCAAGTTGAAGGCGTCGCCCATGATGCCCTTGAGTATGTGGCCCACCTTGTCACTCTCAGTCATTTGCTCGTCGACTTTTCGGCACAACGCGAGCACGTCCTGTACGTGCGAGACATACGACTCTGTTGAGGACTGCACACAAGTGGTGAGTTCTTTCCGCGCCTCCATTTGGCGACCGGACGGGTCCCCAAAGATGTCGCGCAGTCGCTCCTTGAAGGTATCTCAGCTGGTGAGCTCGGTCTCATTGGCGTTGAACCAGACCCGTGGGGTGCCGTACAAGTAAAATATTACGTTGGCGAGCTTCATGGTAGGGTCCCATCAGTGTGTCTGGCTAAAACGCTCCTGCATACGGAGCCAGTAGTCAACGTCATGCCCAGGTTGTGCGGTGAATGCACCGGGATCACGGGGGGGGTGTGCATCATCAGGTATGTAGTGGCTGGAGCTACAGATGGAGACGCTTGTCATTGGTAGCCATAGCCGGAGACTGAACGGTGCGGCCACTGCAAAGCTTCGTGGTGAAGACTGTGAACGTTCCACCCCCACCAAATATGTTACGGAAAAGAAGATACGCCGTAACGACGAGGCTGGGGCTTAGATATATTCAAAACCAGCGGTAATGGCGTGACCGGTTCACCAGCGATCGAGCGGAGCCAACTCTTCGTCTTCCTCGTTAAGCACATATGCGAGTCACCCCCTAGAATATCAATATACATGCATGTAGCAATATGATGTGCGAAATGCTAAGAAATATGCTTGGACACTTATATAGGAATGCCAATCTAAGCGGAGTGAGGTGGCTCATGGAAGGCGGTCACGCTAGACGAAATAAGGAAGTTCATTAGACATCCGATTTATAGAGAGATTGTTCCCATCACGGACATCCATCTATATTGAAACAGCTGGAGGCTCTTATACTAACAAAACGAAAATTTAGTGGTAAAAATGTAAGAGTTCACTTGTGTTTCACGAAAAACCAGGCAATGCTTCACCGCATGGCTCGAGCAACGAAGCAGCACCTCAGTTCTGATTTTCTTTGTCTTTGTCATATAAAAACTTCTTGTTCAACATTTATTATTCTTTATACTGTTTCTGGGTCATTTGTCTTCAAAATGTATATTCTGAATTTTCTTTGTTTTGAATATTTTTGCACATAGTGTTTTTTATTGCATAATGTTTTTATTGCAACCAAAAATTACACACACTCCACATTTTTATTCATCCCAAACTATTTTTTTTTGCTCAAATTTGGTACGCTGCAATGCATGCTGCAGTACTTTTCGAACCGGCAAAAACGATGTTTCCGAGACATATCAAAACTAATAAATTTTGCATGGTAATGAAAGAGTTAAGCCTAGGTGCTTCAGAAATGCACGACTGCCGAATGGCGTTATCTATCGCACGAATAGAGCAGCATTGATGACTGCTACTCTTTTCGTAGAGTATGTTCGCGCTATAGATAACAAGATGGCCAAAAAAAAAAAAAAACAACTAACGAAAAGTCCTGTTCATTGTCGACAACTGCCTAGGCCACGCAAAATAGAGAATTTGGAGGTAGCGACAATAAAGTTTCTGCCTGCAAATATGACGTCTGTGCTGCAGCCCATAGACCAAGATGTCATACAAATGGCCTGAAAAATCTACTGAAAAAGCCTTCTCCACAGAATTTTGTTGTCCTTTGAAAACGGCCAAGGCTGCGAAATCGACCTGCTAGGAACAGTGCACCTTCTCAGCAGCGCTTGGCAGCAAGTTTGGGCAGCGGCTATTGCCAACTTTATTTCGCACGCTGGGTTTTCACGTGCGGTCAGTTTGCCAGAAGCAGACAGATTCCTTCACAGACTGTGAAAAACTTTGTCAAAAGGTCATCAAACCACCTCGAGATGTGCCGACATCTTCTAGGACGAGAAATTTGCTGTCCTTGCTTTGAAATAAGGTTGAGTGCAGCGGCGGGAAGATCGACTGATGAGATGTGTCAAGTTGCAGGAGGACGCCTTCCTAAGCCCGAGTACGACCTCAAGGCAGACGAGCATTAGGCAGTTTTCCTCTGCTAAATAAAATGGCAGTGTGGCAAAACCCAGCCGGTTAGAGTCTCTTATATGTTTATTTTTTCCTCTTTTAAACCTGCACAAGAAGAAAGATAAGAAACCGCCACTGAAGAGCGGGTAAGTAGTAGTGATGTTTCTGAAAGTTGCTCATTTTTCTCAGCGATTAGCGCGACTTTGCTCATCTCTAAAATCCATTTACAGTAGACTCGCAATAACTCTAATCGATACTTTATACTTTTGGTTAATTCAAACAAAATTCAGTTTTCTGGTTGGCCCTCTATACTTTCAATGTATTTGAAAGCCTCTCAACTCAAACTCATCATTTGGTTAAGGGGGGGCGCGGCAAGTAAAGTGCCGATTTTGGTCAAAATATGCGATTTTCTGATTTATTTTTTTTCGTAATCTTCAGACCTTCAACTTCCTTGTTCTAAAATATTACAGCGAAACGTGCGCTACAAATCCCGCAAATAGTGTTTTTGCCGAGGCTAGTCGCCGAAAAGTGCGAAAAAAAAGCCCCTGAAACGGTGTTGTTCACGCCGCACAAACGCGCCAAGTTGTTGACCGTGGGCCGCCATTTTGGTAGCTTTGGAAAGAGGAGAAAGCCGGCTTCCCGATGGTCGCGGTCTCGTATTTCGCCGAGTGAAAATAAAAGCGCGAGGAGCAAGTAAAAAAACGAAAACGAAGAACGGCAATTGGCTGCGCGGGTCACGTGGTAGCAGGCGCGACCTCTTACTGGTCAAAGCTGCGCCGCGCACCTTGGCAACCTTGGAAGCGCGAGCGCATCTGCGGCCGCCGAGTCGAGAATCGTCCGGCGTGCGCTTCGTTTTTTGCCAGTTGGCTGTTTTTGTGATAGTTCGCGTGCTTTTTTTACCAAGCTTTGTTTACATCGGTGGTCTCTTCTGAGTGCTTGCTCATACTGCGGTGCTATGTTGTCGCAAAAAAAGTTCCGGAGCGTCCACAAGTACGGCAAGCGTCGGAAAGCTTGGAACAAAGGGCAGACGACTGCGGCTGCCGTCCCAGTCGCAGTTCCGGACGGAGCATGCTCTTCAAGCGTCACGGAGCCTCTACTCAGACCCTTCGCTGATTGTTGTGAGGCCGAGAGTGTGGAAGGTGCCACATCGTCGTATGTCAGACCGCCGGATGCCGTCGACCGTGATGGACGCTCTCGCGAACCCGATTGCGGTGGCACCGCGTCGGCAGCCGTTGCAACTCCGGGCGTGCGCGCGTCGAACATGCCAAAAGGGTGAAGAGGGCTCAAAAGACGCATTGTTCCACGACAAAGAAGCGCAAAACTGGGTTGCGCTCTACAGAGGCCAAGGCCACAGCATCTCAGGATTACTGCCCAGGAGGATTCTGAGTGTTTTAGGCATGTTGTGAACTTCCAAACAAGAGTGAACTTTCAAAGTCAGTTTTCTCAACTCTTGATTTTCGCCTATGTGCCTTCGCTAGAACATTTGTCATTTTTTAACAAAGACTGATAGAGTCGTTCCGTTTTTTGCACTAGGCTCAGGAGGCCTTTAGCAGTGCAATAAAGCTTCATCTCTCTTCTTACTCATCATTTAAAATTTTTAGAACACATTTTATAATTACTGCGATGTGTGCGCAAAACAACATCCATGTTTTGGAAATTTTATTTATGGTTACAAGAACTAGAAAAATCAACTAATAGCTTCTTTGCACAAGTTGATGCTTTGGGAACATAATAATATGAAAAAATAATTTCATTTAGCAATAATTATCTCTTTAAGTGCGAAGAGCATTAATTAGTATAATTATGCTTGTAACTCAAAAAGTACAAGAGGTATTTGAAAACGGTTTTCATATTTGGAATCCTCACAATCATCCACATACACACACCAAATTTCATCACAAACAGTACATTAATAAAAAAATTAGTTTTACTTGCCACGTCCCCCCTTAACTCATGCTTTTTGCAGTTCCATACTGGAAGATTTCTGCTGCTTCCCCACTACTCTTTAAAAATTTACGTCTTTATATATAATCCTAACAGCCTAAAAATGACAAATAAGTGCCTTAGGCCTTCGAGCAAAGAGGCTTTGCTAGTAAACAAATGTTTTAAATGAAGCACTCGCAAGGTAAACCGTGATGCTTCTCAGCTGGTATAAAGAGGTTTGCGCTGAAAGCACATATTGCAAGGAAGCAAATGGCAGTTCATAATTTCTTAAAAAGGTGTGATCAGCAGTAAATGGCCAATAATGACCCCTCTGCTTTTTGTTCATTGAGCGCAGTTAACTTAAAAAAATTTTAAATGTTATAAAATCAATGCATAATGCATGCATCAATGCATCAATGCATGCAAGTGTGGTGTCATCTAGCCCAGATTCATATATCTGACTACTGATAATTCAAACAAAATTCAGGGGTCCCTTCAAGTTTGAATTAACGAGAGTGAACTGCTATTAAGTCCCCCCCCCCCCCTCCTTCAATTTGTTATTGAGGTTTCACTGAGTGTACATGCTCTTTCTTCCAACAAACCGTAGTTGCGAGTACATGCCTGTGTTGTTTGCATTTTTCTTTCTAGTGTCCATGCTTGTGTGCATGTCATATTCAGTCTAAACATAGACCAAAAGGCACTGACCAGAAATTGGCTTTGTTGAGCTGCTCCATGTACAAGCCAGTGTCCGAGAAGGGAGCAATGTGCAAGTCCCCTCGCGTTGGGAACATTTTGCCTGCACAGGAAGAAGACAAGTATTGAAAGCATTGTGAAACGTTTCCCAAAAACTATGGGTGTACTCAGATTTTTAACCATCCAAACAATACTATACCTCGACTCCTCATCATGGTGAGGGTTCACTTAATAGCTATAAAAGCACAATTTCGATTTCTCAGCCCATGTTCCCTTCAACTCTACAGCCCACATCATCTCGAGCGCCAAAAATCTATGTCCTCAACAAAACATGGCAATGCATCAAAGCCTGCATTGCACCAGATGGCCGAAGTTCCGAACACCGCATCAACCACCTTAGTGCTGTGATGACTCGACGTGCACAAGTCGTGTGAACTATTCGGTGCTAATGCATGGAAACATTATTCCATTGCTATACAGTCGAACCCACAAAAACTAAGCTCACGGGGAGCGGAAGATATTTCGTTGAAGCGAGAATTTTATTGTAGTGAAATCTAAAGAAATATACCTGATCTGAATTAGCTAAACAAAGGAACGTTTGCTCTTAAAATTTAAAAAATGTCCGCTGCTTCCTATTCTTTCCCAGCAGCGTCACGATGCGATTCACAGTCATGCATAAGCGAGGCCATGGTGAAAACCACTGAAATAATGCCTACAACCGCATTCGTAAACATACCAAACCGTTGCATTACCACGTTAACACCAGCAGCCGTCCGCCGTCAAAGTGAATCCGACAACGCCGAGATGGAGGCATGTTATCGTGGAGCGATGACTTTTGACTTATTCTATGCCATTCTTAGAATCCAAATCTCGCGGAACAGCTGCTGTGATTAGGTACCACACTGGCCAAGCGCGAATAGAATCATAAGCCATGAAATCGGAAAAGGCATCGCTCCGCGGTTGCACGCAGCAGCTGCATGAAGGAAACCATGAACTGAGCAACTGAGCTTCAGCTTCGGATTTTCTATGGCTCTAAAACAAGCAAGTGGCAAAAGCAGGGCCACCCTCCATGAAGGGCAGTCTCACTGCTATCGCTATCGAGCTATGGCGGCGCCCATGCTTGCTGAACAGCGGCAGTTTCCGGTGGTGCCAACGTGTGTTTTAGACTTCGTCGACGTGTTTTCAGGTTCTCAAAATGCATCGAAGTTTTAAAGATTGGGTTTCCTATATAGCAATAAATATCTGAGCCTGGAATTGCAGATGGAATTTTGTTGAAGCAGGACGGCAGAAGAAAAAGTGTTCATTGTGGCGACAATATTTATGCATTGACAACTATAAACTGCTGACGGGGAAGCGTGAACTTTTTGTTGTAGCGAAAATTTCGTAGCCCGTCATGGTCCAGCAAATATGAATCCGCCGGGGACTCAGCGACACACGCTGGTTCGAGCCCCCTAGCTTCCTAGCTTATAAATTTCAGCTTATAAATTCAGCTTATATTTTTATATATTTCAGCTTATATATTTTAGCTTATAAATTCTTCCTAGCGTTATAAATTTCACCGCAAGGAAAGGTTAGCGATAAGTTCCCGATTTCAAATGTCTGAGGATGCTGTCACCTCGCCAAAACCTACGACAATTGTAAATTTCAGATCGCAAAAGCATTTCAAACGGCGGTTGGCAACACACTTAGGAATGCCTGATGCGTATTGAAGAAGTAAATATTACAGATTGTTTCACAATGTACCAAGGTGCAAAAAGGCTGACTAACCCTGGGGCTTGAGCCACTTCTTGGCATGAAGGTAGGTCTCAAGCATTCGTTCATTGAACAGCATGTAGCCCATGGGCTCCGACACGATCACGTCCACAGGCTCAGGCAGGCTGATCTCCTCAATCTTGCCCGGTATCACCACCACCTTGTCAGATACCTTGTTGTGGTACACCAGGCACTGCGCAACACACATGCCTGCTAAAGCTAGGCCACACAAAAAAGCTCAATTATTTGTTAAATTATAAAAATTTCTTCATTGTATAAGCAGGCCTTTCAATTATTGCTGATTACATGAGGACAAAACTGTCATACAATCCAGGACACCAATTAAGGGCGAGTAGTTACGGAGTCGCCCTCTTTGAGGCATGCCTCGCTTGTGTGCTAAGCAGCTCATAGAAGTACTGGCTCGATTTCGTCAACCCTCAAAAAGGGCATTTCTCATTCCTTTACTGTTCACTCTCCACACACCGGCGCCAGACATTATGTATAAAATATTTTACTTTGATGTCCTCATCACCTAGCATCTGCCAGCCAGCCCCCACAGCAATGGACATTACAATGATACGTCAATACTAGGCTTGTGAAAATGGCGAATTTTACATTTGAAGAAATAGCAATTTTGGTCAAATAATTTCGAATAGAATTTGAAGAGTGTGTATATATATATATATATATATATATATATATATAATTATTAGGATCTAACTGACAATAATGCCAAGGAATGTATAAAGGAAGTTATTAGACCCAATTGTAATGTAAGTGTGAAGAAAGAAAAGTGGGTGAAAAGATAACTTACAGTGGGGAGGAACCGAGCCTGCTACTTTCGAGCAACACGTTCAATGCTCTACCAACTGAGCTACCACGGCGGCTATCCCCCTAGCCACTTCATTAGGTATATATGTGAATTAAACTCACACATAGAGTGTGGCACACTCTATGAGCCTGTTTGGCGTCATGTAGGTCGTGAACCTAATACGAGCTAGCAGCTGACCAATACAGCCCGTCATATTTGCCGGAAGTGACCGTCGGTTGGCGCGGCCAGTTTCGCGACCTTCTTTCGCTGTGTTCTTATCAGCTGTGATGTCTCTACACTTACATCGTTCGTGAACCCTGCTGTGGCACATAGATATTAAAAAGATTGGAAATGTGCCGCACACAGACAGAAAGAAAAACAATATGGTGCGTGGCCGCGGGCAAACATGGGGAGGGAGCGAGCCAAAGAACAAACGGAAGAGATCCAGCGGGCAAGAAGACTTCATGTGTCAGTTAGCAGGATTGAAGCGAATAATGTAGGGGGTGCATTCATTATGCAGAAAAAAAAAAAAATGACGGCTGAAGTGGGGGGGTACGTTTATTATGCGAGTGCATTCATTACGCAAGTAAATACGGTAATTGCCAGTAACTTTTTTAGACGTCAGCAATCATATTAGTACTCACAATTATGTGGCTTGTACACGCCTGAGTAGTTGAACAAACTGCGGTATGTCCCGCGACTAGCCCCTTCCGAATTTTAAAATGCTTTTTTAGAACAAGGACAAGAAATTTTCTAACTGCTTTACTCCCCCCTTTGATTTTGACGATAGAATTAGGTTTTAGCACAACTTCTACGATTACTTGCAAGGCGTGTTTGACTAGATAAGGTAACACTGGAACGCGCCCCTTGGCCGGGCGACGGCATCGCGTATCTATCGTATGTGCCATTTCTATGCATTTGCAGCCGATAGAATTTCTTCGCACGCAGTAACAGGGGCATACGGTACCAGATTTAGTTCTTAACATGCCATAACAGCGTTTGCTGAGCCACGTAATGTTTGCTGAGCCACATAATGAGCCACAAATGGCACGGCGTTATTACTTTATTTGCACGACCGCGTTTAGCGAGGTCCTGGCTCAGCAGTAGTTTAGGGGTACAGTCTGTGCGCCTAGATACCCGAAATAGAGACTGTGTGGGATCCATTTCTTGCTGAAATTAGCGTAATCGAGAAACTTTTGGGGCTCGTCGGGCATTTTGGCGTAGCGTGCTGCAATTTCGGCAAACTTCATGATTTTGGCACAGCTCGGTGCAAAAATAGGGAATTGTATCAATTTGATGCAGGGGGACACGAATCTTAGAAGGCGGAAAATCCCGAAAAAGTAGACTTTTTGAAGTTGATATTTTCGAAATCTGTACCTATTTCTGCACTAATCTAAATTTCTAGCTTCTCACATCATAATGTTTGGCCAAAATTTATAACACATCTGCGAGATTAATGTGAGCACAAATAGGCGCTAAAATCGCACTTTTTCCGCGCTGAACCCTTGCAGTTACACATGAGCTATCGTTGCTATCTTGGTCTCGTTTGGAAGAGCCGTTCCTCATCTTCAATATGATGCCCCTGCCGGCTCGCCTTCAAAGCAGCGTTCCTTCAACTGGTTGAGCATTGGACGTGCGCCCACTTTCAGAATTTTGTCAGTAACGTCGTCCCCATACATGATCGTGTCAAGAACGACCGCGGTTTCGTCCGCAGCGGTTGTGGGAATGACAACCACACGCAATGTAGAAGATAGTGCGTGTTCCGGTTGCGCGCGTACTTCTTGAAGCTTCTAGCACGCTGCTCTCGGTTTTGATTCAACGGCTTCGGCACTGAAGTTCATATCACTGGCTGCAATTAAAAAGTGTTCAAAACATTCGAATTTTGGTCAAATGGACGCAGTGAAATTTGGCTCAATAATTGCACAAATTCGTATCTGCCGCGGTGTTGCATTACTTAGATTCTACTGTACGTTTAAGTGAACAGCTCCTAAATTCATTTGTAATAAAATGTGGTGGGTTGATAAAAAGCCTGGAGCGGATTGACCTGCATTTTTGTCAATGCGACTAGATCACGAACCGAAATTTCGATTTGCAGGAAATTTTTATGATGACCGTACAAACAGAAGAAACAGGTGAAATCCGGGAGACTTGGCAGATATGTCGTTTGCTTCTTCTGTAAAAACGAACCTAGGCCAGCTAGAGCTATAATTCTTTTTGCACAACGTAGTTAAATTTAAAATAACAATATCTTAGTTTCTGGTTGCATGCATACAATGAACCTTATTGTGCTGCAATTCAAGAAGTAGTTGTTCAATTTTGGATTAGTTTGCGGAGTTGCCCTCCTTAAATTTCTAGTTTCCATGTATGTGTTAATCACTATGCAATTTTATGCACACAAATTTTCATGGTTTAAAGGGGCCGTGGAACACTTTTCAAGTAACCATGGAACTGATTCACAAGAAGAGCTTATTACCTTAGGGATTCAACACTGCAAAAGTTTTGAGATTCCGTCTAGCACAATCGGAGTTACAAAGAAGGTAAGCAGGGAGCGTTGGCCCGGGCAAAGAAAACACGTCACTCACGCCTCGTGACCTTGAAAAGTTTTTTTTTTTCCCCTTTGAATAATAGGCCTTTTTAGTGTAATTGCGCGCACACGCGTGGACAAGTCACGGCCTCCAGCAGCGATCTCTGTAACTACCGAGCGCGCCACGTTTAAATCGGCCAATGGCTGATAGAAGCCTTCCTACAAGTGATTTGTGAGCATCTCATTTGTCATTTATCGAGAAAAGTGAAAGCAATTTCTAGCCAATTTTGATAATTTATTGTGAATTCCAGGCCGCATGCTGCGCTATAATATTTGGCTGGTGTGTTCTCGGGAGCCTTTACTGCCAATCGGCAGCGTTTTCGAACCATGCTCAAAAAGTGTTGCAGGGCCAATAAAATGCATTTACTAATATTCTCAAAAAATGTCTGACCTCCATAAAATATAGTTGGATAGTTAAAATAAGCTCAAGAAACTAAAAGCTATGCCGTTTCACCTAACTTGTTCAAGAAATAACCCCTGTTATCTTTAAAACCAATGTCCCCCCCATAACTTAGAAGTGGGGCTTTACAGCAGTGCACGTTTTTCTTGAATACGTTTTCAAGACTTAGCACCACTTCACTGCAGTGAAGCCATTTTTACAAGGCCGTTACACGTGAATTAATGTACACCTAAAGAGATGCTTTCACAAATTAGTACCCCTTCATTGCAGTAAAAACACCTTTACAGGATGTCATATGCGGACTAATATGATTTTATTCATCCGTTCCAAATAATTCAAAATTTTCAATCACCTAAATTTGATTCAAAGCAAATTTGAAAACTGCATTGTTTGGTTGAAGGCAAAAACCCAGAGGCATTACATTATACATTTGAATACTCAAAGCATTCAAATAATCACGCAAGCATAGTAAATCCTGCAAGCTGCCGAAGTCGTGCTCGTTTAAGGGGAGACGCTCCTCGAAAGCACTTTTTTTTTGTTATTCAACTTAGAGCTTCAGAAATTGGACCACTGATGCAGTTTTTCCTCCTGATTCCAAATCTGTAATCAGTTTTTACATAAGTGCAATAGTTTGGGAGTTGTGTTTCAAGTAATGGTGAAACTTGATAAGTTTTCCGGGAACTTTCGCGCATACTAAATGTTCATGCAGAGAGTTGTTCAATGGCTCCTTTTGCTCCCTATTAGCCATAGAGTGCCGATATCTAGCTAGAAATTGTGCTCCAACTTTGAAACTATGAAAAAAACATCTGTGTAGCAAACTACCCTTTTTTTTCCACTCGACCACCATTAAATTTATTAATAGATATTTACAGCTGATAGGTTGTGCTGATTCAAGTAGATATCGGCACCCTACGCACTCTCCTCAATGTGTGTGCCAAATTTCGTCGTCGTATGACCATTCTAAGTGCCCGAAACACTTCCCGCAAAAAATGCAAATTGGCCAAAATTGCGAAATGAGAAAAACGCGTTTGAAAGTTTGAAAGTCTGTATTTACAAAAATGAAAAACGCAGTAGCACGAAACTTGTGCTGAACACATACACACATGTCCAGAGGGAATATCAGTTGTCTAAAACTCTCCAGCACCGTAGGTTTTCCCTTCCCGGCTGGTGCGGCAGGACTCTACCACCCGGGCCCTCTTGGCTGCACTGCGACGGTGTGCCCTCGCCTCAGCGGTCTGACGCACATTCATCTTGTGCATGCGCATGCTGTCTCGGCGGTCGCTGAGGGTAACCAGGGCCTCCGAAGGAAGCACCCCAAGCTCTTCCAGCACCTTTTCAAAGCTTGCGTGGCCCCGGTTGAACCACAGGACTGCAATGGCTGTGGCTGTTTCCACAGCA